GAAATGGGACTGATTAACAAATTCTTTTCTACTTATAAACGAGAACATGATCCAATTTTTTTTTGTTTCATTCTTATTTTCAGCAAGACAARTTTAAAATCTTTCAGTTTTTGCCAGCTGACGGACCACAGAAATTCTGTGCTCATTATTAGTTACATTGTTGAGAAATAATGTAACTTCACCTGTTCATTTTGCAGGTGATGAATTTCCTTAATTCTTATATAACTTTCTGCCAGTCTGAATGGGGATGCCCTCTTTTGTACACGGTTCACCAAGGTTGAGCCCTGTTAGCAGCAGGTTTTCCGTCTCTAGGGAGCAGTGGTCCAATGGTACCTTCTTCCAGGTCACCTGAACATGTCAGGATAAACCTTTCCACAGGTGAGACGTGCCCTTCACAAGCTCCTTCCCTCGGCAGAGGCACAGGGGAACACGCCAAAACGAGAAGGGCAACATCTGGAAGTGCTGCAGACTCTGCCACTGAGACGAAACCTCTGTGAGGTAACAGATCCATCAGATCCAACAGATCTGGCARGTTCCAGTGGCATTTCCAGCTCCTAGGCCTCCTGTCCTGCCAGAGCTTCTGGGACTCTCCCTTGGGAATTTCAGAGCATATGGAATAAGGTCAGTTGAAATGTTGGTGCTCAGTGTCTGCAGTCGGAGAGAACCTTASGTGCACAAATCCTGAACTGACAGACTGCTTAGTCTGGGGGCTGCAATTTACCTCTGTAACTTGGTAAAAACGGCTCTCAGTGTTAAAAATGAGCTAGGCAGTTATCCAAAACTAATGAGATTTAAAAATAATATTTTTTTAAAAAAGATATAATCTGTATATATCCTACATAGATGTTTTTGTTTATATTTTCTATTTGCCATTTAGAGGCTTTCTGGTACTTCTATGGTGCATTTGGTTCACGTTTTCAAGATTTTTCTTCATCTTCACACAAACTAGACATTTCAGGGAAAAATATTCTCTTAAAAATACAAGAAAAGTACATGATCCTTGAAAATTAGTTTTAAAGTAAAACATAAAATCATGCTGCCAACAGATGCATGGGACTAACAAGCAAAAAGATCTGAACGTGAAGACACAAGATTTGCATAAACTAATGCATATCTGCTGATCTCCTGATCATTAACATTCAAACTTCTTCCTAGTTACATGAGTGTTTTGTAAACACTGATTATTGCAGCAGCTTTGCCCCTTTTAATTCAATAGTTTCTCTAGTCAGTAAAAACAATGTTATTCATCACTATTTTATAATGCACTCTCGCATTTCTGAAAAAGAGAAAAACAACAAACTACAGTAAATAGGTTAACTTCAGAAACAAGCAGAGAATAAAAAAGCTTTTACAAAAAAAAAGCTTTTTGCTCTGCTGCTGTCACAAGACTGGCAAGGCTTAAAGTCAATTGTCAGCTGAAATGCCCATTTCACAGACATATAACTAAAATAACTACTCTGTGTGCACGTCATGCATACATGKTTTTGTTCCAGTAACAGAATAAAGCATATATTAAAAACATACATTAAAACACAAAAGCATATACTGTGGTCAAATTATTTTAAAAGAGATTTTAGGGAAAAAAAATCTTCCAAAAAACAGTGCTAAATACATTCAAGTGGCATATGGAAACAGACTGTTTTGGCTGCTTAATTGAATGGCAAGTTACACTGAAAATGTAGCTGCAAGCCTAAAGTGGCAAGAGCCCCTCCCAGGCTGACCCAAGAGTCCTTTCACTTCAGTGCAAAGCCATTACTTTGCCATTAACCTATCCATTTGAAAACTAAAATCACATGCAATTACGATTACATGCTCATTTAGATGTGCAATTGCTCATTTTTACACGTGCAATATGGGAATCCTCTTTCATAAATGCTTTATGCTTTGTGGAATCATACCTAGTAAAGGGTGACCATGTGGCTCTATCCAGTCAATAGAATATGGCTGCAAAAAAACCAATATTTTAAAAAGAAAGAAAAGTATTTTTAGTTAGTTTGTGAAATAGGGAAAGACATTCTTTTTCCATACAAATACATTTTATTCACACATCCAGAAAGACTTAATCCATAAAGTACAAATATTCATCATAAGAGCATCCCAACATCAGGAAAAATGGGAGGCAACTGATTATGAAGGGAAAGGGAAAGGGAAAGGGAAAGGGAAAGGGAAAGGGAAAGGGAAAGGGAAAGGGAAAGGGAAAGGGAAGGAGGAGAGGGAGAGGGAGAGGGAGAGGGAGAGGGAGAGGGAGAGGGAGAGGGAGAAGGAGAAGGAGAAGGAGAAGGAGAAGGAGAAGGAGAAGGAGAAGGAGAAGGAGAAGGAGAAGGAGAAGGAGAAGGAAGGGGAAGGAGAAGGAGAGGGGAAGCAGAGAGAAAGGAAGGAAGGAAGGAAAGAAAAGAGAGAAGGAGAAGGAGAAGGAGAAGGAGAAGGAGAAGGAGAAGGAGAAGGAGAAGGAGAAGGAGAAGGAGAAGGAGAAGGAGAAGGAGAAGGAGAGAGAAAGAGAAGAAAAGGAAAAGGAAAGGAAAAAGAAAAAAAGAGAAAAAAAAGGAAAAAAAGAAAAAAAAAAAGAAAAAGTATCATTTGTATTTATTGCAACCAGAGGCAGTACTGTCCCTAAGCAAGAAGCCGGAGTGGGTTTGCTGGCTGTGATCCGGTGTTTGCTGTGCGGATGCCAGGCTGGGAAGCAGCCGCGCTGGCCGGGCTGCTCGTGCCCAGCGAGGGGAGYGTGTGAGGTGCTAACTGCTCCTGCTGCCATGGACAGCGTCCCACAGAAACAGCCTTTTCCAGCCTCCCAATTCACACCTTCCTGCAGGCCTGGGGGCCGCAAGCTTCCCAAGCTGACACCCTCCATTCCCTTTCTCCTCCTCCCCTCTAAATGCCCCTTCTCCTCYCTCTACCTGAAAAGCAGCAGCCCCTAAGCCGTGTTCAGGCAAGTTTTCTACTCTCTGAATCATCCTGATTTATCCTTCCCAGATATTGGAAGGTTATGTGACACTATACCATGATCCATTTTATCATTCCCATCTAAACCCCCCCAAAAAAATTTGTGTTGATCTTCTGCAATCTAGTTTGCAACACCTCAGACCTCCAGCAAATTGCCAAGAGCCTTTTAATGAACTGCAGTTTCATCTGGGCTGCAGACAGGCTGACTTTTCTGTCAGGAACTGTCCTGGGCGAGGAGGGGCAGACATGTAATATTTATGTGCACTTACATATTAATAATTGATAATTAGTGCTGATTTAGCTGAGGGAAATGGTTGACATGAATAGGGAAGTAACTATTTTACAAGACAATCCGGCAAGAACAGATGGCACCGATCAGGAGAAACGTGATACCTCTAGGGAGAAAGGGGACCTCAAAAAGGAGGTTAAATGGCATCAAGTGGCTTAGCTCTTATGCAGAGGCACCAAATCTGCACATTTGAAAAGACCATGAGGATGCTCCATGAGCTCCAAGTTCAGGAAGCTAATGGAAAAGTGGTATAAAATCACTACGGTTGGAAAAGACCTTCAGGATGATTGGTCCAAGTGTAAACTCTTTGCTTTACAAGAGTTAGAAGCTGCAGGATGTTGACACCTGCAGGAGCACCTGCAGCTCCGCACCTCTATTTCAAAGGCAGCATCCAATTCCATGTATCTTTGTAGAAAAACAATTAAGAGATTACTGCAAAATCAACATCAAGAGGTTTGCTGGAATTAAAACGTCTTCATATAGCACAAAGTAGGGTTGTAAGTTTTATCATTGGATTATTTACATATATTTACATTTACGTAAGTAAATTACATACTTTATTTCTCTATCGTGAGTCCCTGGAGGCAGTTATTAAATATTGTGAAACAGAACAGCAACAGAAAAAGCTGAAGACTTTTCACTAATGTGGTATGCTTAAGCTACATAAACAGAATTGCAGCCTAGAATCCGGCACATTAACACAAGGCGGGTTTAGTCTGCTAGCCTGGGAGTGAGCAAGGCTTAGCCTCTGCTTTGCTGATCGCATCTTGGGACAAAAATGCATTTTAATTTCAAAACCATGCCAACTTAACTTAGGAAAACTTGACGTCCATTCCTTGGCCCTTCATACGTGTGTTATTACGCCCCTCCCTTCCCAAATAATTCAGTTTGGCAGTTTGGTAAGTGCTGTTTGGTTTGCAAAACTCATGTTATTTTCCCCCCAGCGCTGGGGATTTCCCCTCATCTCCCAGGATTTCTGGCCGCTCCCATGGGCACCTCCTGCCAGGAGGAGGCGATGGCGGCAGCCACTCCCTGAACCKCCCCGGCCCCTCCGCTCTGCCCAACCCCGCCGTGCTGGGACKAGAGACGCCCCCTGAATCTACTTTTTTTTTCCCCCCAAAAAATAGCAAAGGGAGCGGCAGGAAGGCGCAGGACCCGCCCGCGGGGGAGGCGGCCGCCCCGGGCYGTTAAACGGGCGGCCGCGCCGAGCAGCGACCTGGGCCGTTAAACGGGCGGCGGCCCCGCCGGCCGGGCCCGCGGCGCGCGGGGCGAGCGGCGCCCGGGCCGCTCAGCAGGCGGCGCGCGGGGGGCCGCCGCGGAGGCCGTTGGAGGTGGGACCGGCTCACGCTTGGGGCGGGAGGCGAGAGGAGGCTCCCGCTGGCAGCTCCGTGCCCCCTGGGGCGGGCTGGTCGGCGGCTGCTTCGCTGTGTGCGCCTCTGGGGTGCACGGGGATTGGGGATGTCCTGATAAAAACTGCCTTTATTGTCCTCAGCGCGCCGGGGAAGGCGTTGAAATGCCCCAGAAACGCTCCTGACGGGGCCCGGTGTGCCACGCACGTGCTGCCGCTTGTGCAGGGTGATCCCGGAGATGATGCCCAGGAAGAGGCGACAGGGAGACCTGGCGTCCCAGGGCCAGCGCTCAGGAAGAGCCTTGGGATGTGGCCTTGGGATGTGGCCTTGGGACACGGCCTGGTACTGGGCCAGGGGCAGAGGGGACCTGCTGGGCCTGGAAGGAGCCCGTTCCTCTGCTTTTATTAAAGAGAAGGAAGGAGGGAGATGAGTATTGGTACTCGTTAGGCAGCGGGTTACGCTGATGTGCAAGTAGAGCTGTGGCAAAACCCCCTGTTGTTGCCTTTCCCCCATCTTCATGCAAAGACCTCTTACGTCCCAGTCTTGCTTGTGGTTTAGTTACCCTGGGCCTGTCTGATCCCAGCAGTCAGAAGCTGAACTTGTAGTAGGTAATGTCTGAAAAAATAGCTGTAGTCTGATTCAGGAAAGGTGAACTCAGCTGGGGTTTGCACATCGTTTTTGTAAAGTCATTGGTGGCTTTGAAGGTTGATTTCTTGTACAGTGCACAGTGGCAGAAATACTTCTAATAAATACAAAGAAAAATAGTGCATTTAAATACTATGGATTTAGGCTCTTTGGATGTTAAGACAGATGTAGAAGGTTAATATCAACTTTTTTTACATACATCTTAAGTAGAGTTTAAAGACACATTCTGAACAAAAATAAATTTGTGTTACAGGGCCGTAGTCTTAGTTCATTCATCTGCAAGAACCTTCGTTGCTGTCTTTGACTACAGAAATAAATTAAATTCTGAAGCAGAATTTATTATTTTTTCTTTAAGTCACAAAGGTAGGAAAGGTAATCAAAATGGATTTTCATTCCCAGTTTAGTCTTACCTCTCGGCCTGAATTAATTCAAATTGGCAATTTGGGAAAATTGTCATTTAAATGGTGACAGTCCCATGTTAAAACCCAAAGGATTGCCTAGCGTAAATCTCAGATACTTTTTCTGTAATTCAGAGACCAATTAAAGTGACAAATGCTACTGGATTCCAATTTAAATAGTGTAATTCCTCCCTGATAAGAATCAGATGGTATTTGTATAGTTTTACCTCCCAAACTCAAAATGATTTCCTTTGACTCTTATTATAACAGTCCATAGAATCCTTAAGGTTGGAAGAAACCTCTAGAGATGATCTAGTCCAACCCCCTGCACAAGCAGGGTCACCCAGAGCACGGGGCACAGGGCCGCATCCAAGCGGGTTTGGAAGATTTCCGGAGAAGGAGACTCCACAACCTCTCTGGGCAGCCTGTTCCAATCACCCTCACTGTTAAGAATTTTTTTAAGTTCATGTGGTAGTTACAGACACTGATGAGGTCCCCTCTTAAGTTCTTCCTCTGTGTTATGAAACCTTTTGAAGAAAGCAGAATTTCAGTACTATTATTAATTAGTAGCCATGAGTAGCCAGCCAACAAGAGCCAAGTAGCCTCCTGTTTCTGATGGTCTGCTACATCTAAAGAATAAAACCAATTCCTTCTCTCTGGGAAATACCTAGTTTGACAAAGAATTCAGCTGGCCCTTCAGTTACGGTAGTGGGAGACTTCTCAACCTGGCAAGACCTCAGCAGCTTTCAATGCTTCCATTTCTTTAGCAGCAAAACAGAGATGGAAAGATGCTAAACTGTATTCATTTAATTAAAGAAGCAACAAGTAATTAAAAAGCAGCTATGCAAGCACGCCTAGATGCATGCTGAGCTGTAATCCAGCCAACACACTGAGGGGTAGACTGATGTTAATAAATTAGTCCTTATCGGAATTAAATTAGCTGTTAGAAAACACCTTAGTTTCCATCCATCCTATCCTCATTTTCCAGTCCTACAGGCTTGCCTTCTGAAAAAAAAAAATGTTTCTGAGGAAAAATTGGGCTTCCTTGAGTGGAATGAGGAGTGACAGAAATGTCTGATTCTTTCTGTGATTTTTTTTTTTTCTTCCCTGACCTGAGTAGTTAACAAATGATATATGCTGTTGTCAAATGCAACTAGCAAATAAGCAAATACATAAACTGCCCTGTTTGCTTAATGTCCTCATGTATGCCTGTATTGATTCCTGCTACTTTTTTAAAGCGTGACACTTCAAAATGCTAGAGGAACCTAAAAAGCTCATCGGTAAATCCCTTCAGCCGGCTCGACCCGTGCGTCATTTGTCCTCACAAAATGGTGAGTATGAAGGTGCAATTAATTTAGGCAGAACTTCTGTTGCTTTAACAAGAATATGCCTGGCATATCTCACAGGCTGCTTATTTTCTTTTTTTTTTTTTTTTATTTTTTTATGTTAAGGCTTTTTGTTTGCGCTGCCATGGTATATAATGTCTTACTGTGTGCTGATCTTACTGCACAATCTGTGATATAATTTGAATTTAAACTACATCAGATGTTTTAGTGCTCTAGTTTGGCATCTGAAATTCTGTCTTACTTAGGAAGCTAATTGTTATCTCTGTTAATTTCGAACTTGGATTATTAGTAGTAGACGTCTATTTTTGAAGAAAAAGAAAAGCAATTCAAGAAATGGTTATAAGAAAATAATGCAGTCATCAAGTGCATGAGTTTTTTGTTTTTTACTTRTTTTTAACTCCTGCTTGGATCTTTCAGATGCTGCAATTTTATAGCTATTATTGTTGTCACTGTAAGTTACAAATTTTGCCTAGAAAAATAACGATGGCAGCATTGGCATGAACAGAAATTAAATAACACCCAAAGTTTGTGTTGTATGTTAAAACGCATGGAAGAAAAGCCATAATCACCGTAGATCCACTTTCCCATTTAAGACCTTAAAAAGCAGCTGGATCATCTCTTTGCAATCTAATTGCATTGCAGTATTGGTGGCAGGCATAACGAAAACAAAACCATGGTCTCTACTCTTTTTCCTTAGTATCTGCCTTATTTTTCCCCCCCACACCAGAGCCAGTGATTGCTTTCAACTTGCAGAGTGAGTTGCCCAGCAGCACGGAGGTGTGCCTGCCCAGGGAGGTTGGCTGGGTGAGTACTGAGCAAATACAAGAAGGACGAGGTTGGTAGTGACTAAGCTGACCAAGGACTGCGTCCCAGAGCGCCCTAAGTGGGAGGCTACGCCTGCTGGTACCGAGTGGGAAGCATGCAGTATTTCCAGTTAACAGTGCCCTTGAATTTGTGTGTTGCAAAATAGGGACATTTTAGAAATGTCAGAAAATTGAACTTCASGATGCCTTTTTGATATCTGTGTGCATTGGTAGCTGGAAAAATGCATCTTGTGAGTTATATGAGGCGGTGCAATAAAAGTCTCTGTGGCTTTCTTTGGTCTTTGTTTTGTTTGTGGTTTTGCCGTTCTAATCTTAAAGTACACAGAGGTATTTGAGGTATTCAGTCTTTCCCTAGTTAGTGAGTAATGTTACTCTGTGTGTGTGTGTGTGTGTGTGTGTGTGTATTTAAGCTTTAACAGGAACACATTCATTTGAGGTAGCAAATACGACAAAACTAAATTTCTTAAGTTTTTAGAGATATTTAGGAGGTTGTATGTGTGCAAATACCTACTGTTTATACACACACACACACACACACACACACACACACACAATGTAAAAATATAAAATCTCCAAAAAGCCTTCTGTTACTTTTTCCTGTACCTGTATCCTGAGGCTTGGTTTTGTTGACTCTGCTGAAGTAGGCAGTGAATGGGATATTCAAACAAACAGAAACACTCTGTTACCAAGCTTTCCTGCCCCAAATACTTGACTTTAGATGCATTACAGTGTGTAATCTCAGAGTTGGTTACAGATGTTTTTGCTGCAAAGGGAAGTTACTAGTGTTTCAGCTGGAATTTTTTGTTTTACACTGATTTTCATTTTATGTTGATACTGTCTTGAATGCCCTTTGGGTTTCAATGAGGAGTGACTCTCCCCAAGGTTCTGGGTATTACTTTGGTCTTCTCCATAGTGTCCCTGGTAGCATGTGGCTCTCATACATTATCCCTTAGCACAGGGGCCTTAGAGCCTATTGGAAGACTCYTGTTATGGGAGGAAAATTGTCCCATTGGGAAGCCTTGCACAATCAGCTGTCCCCGCAGTCACGTACCAAGCTGGGCTACCCCTGCCTGTTGCTTGAACCACTTGCCACAAGTGAAAAGGATTTTGATTCTTTATATCAGACTTGAATTCAGAGGTTGCAGTTGGATTAAGTGGGGAGGTTCTGTTCTGGAATGTTTTTAAGATAGGATTGCAGATGAACACTTAACTGCACAGGGTTTTTAAATGTGAAAGCTTTACTTCAACGTTCAAAATTGGAAGAGTGGGGCAGGGAGAAGAGTTGATTATTGACAGCTATTCTCAGTTTATAAGTATTTCAAAGATAGATTTAAAAGATAGAATAATCTTTCCCTTTATGTAGTCAGGAAATACATTCTTSTTGTTATTTTTACATCTTTTTATTTAATCTGAACTAAATAACTCATTTTTCTGACCGAGGCAATGAGTTTTTGTGTAATAGTTAAGAATCTGTCTTACAATCAGTTCTCAAGCAACAAAGTAAATATTTATTTCTTTGTTAGAGTCTGTAGCTAAGATTGTTTTATTATTTCAATTTCTTTGCAGTAGACTTCTGAGTAATTGTTCAAATGTGAAGGTAGCTTCACCTACACTTAAAAAAAAAAAAAGATATTTTTAGGAAATGTGCATTGTTAGAGTTTTTTTTTTTTTTCTTCTTCTTTAATTCAGTGACACGCAGTGTCGTGAAAAGTGTGGTAGGATAATGTTGCCAACAGCAATAAGGAACTAACTGTATTCTTTATTATAGATGGGTAATACAGGCACTGTTGCCTTTCCCACCTTGAAGAGGAAAGTGAAKGATTGACTATTCCTAAAGCAAACTTTTCTAGCTTCCTCAGCTAAACTGATCTTAGAAGACCTGAAATTGCCTTGTATACAAATGTTAGGACAGGGATCTGTTCCTTTATCTCTCTTCCAATATCAGTCTAACTGTCCTATAAGTTTTCATTTATTGCATGAATCTTGCAGAATACTGCCATCAGTTGTGACTATTTAAAAAACAGGGAGAGGGAAGTTTATTTAAACAGAGCTGTAACCAGCCTATCCTTCCAACTGTAAGATGGTGACTGCTGTAACACATTTATTTTAATTTGCAGATAAGGAAATTAGTACTTGTTTTTTGAAAAATGTGAATTTAGGAGAACAAACTCTATATTCCCTTTTAGAGTAGCCCTTTAGGCAGCAGTGCTGTAGTACTCTGAATTATATCGGTATTTGGCTATGTGTGGCTACATGCTGCATTTCTTTGATCGTAACATAGCTGCATTCTTTACTGACCTTTTATTTAAAATGAGGAGGAGTGAGGAGGGGTTTTAGTGTTTGCACTGTTGGGTTTTGTGGCCGCCTCCAAGTATCTGCTGATCTGTGCCCTCTGAATTTGTCTCTTTGGGATTTAGATTGATGACACTGGCCAAGAGGTGGGCATAGGATTCACAGAGTATTTCTCTAACCAAGAGGTGTTGTTCTTTAAGACAAACACGCTGCATTTCAGTTTGTTCCCTGCCTTCCCTGGCTTTAGATGTGTTCTATTCTGTGCCCTTCCCCAGCTTCGCTGCCCTTCTCTGTGCACCCTCCAGCACCTCAAGGCACTTCTTGCAGTGAGCGGCCCAAACTGCACCCAGTATTCGCGGGGCAGCCTCACCAGCACCGAGTACAGGGACGGTCACGTCCCTCGTCCTGCTGGCTGCCCTGTTCCTAACACAGGCCACGGTCCCTTGGCCTTCTTGGGCACCCGGGCACACTGCTGACTCATGGTCATCTGACTGTCAATGAGCACCCCCAGARCCCCCAGAAGAAGGACATGGAAGTCCTTGTTCCTCTATCTGTGTGTCTAGAAGACATGCAGTCTCCTAAATAATAAAGGTTAAAAATGAACAAAGTAGCATCTATACTGTCCAGGCTCTAATCTAAAAAATTGCTGTCTAAAATGCCATTGTTCCTTCTATTTGTCTATGCTGCTGCATGGATAGTTGAGTTATTGTCTTATTGCCCATGGCCAATAGCAGCAGGTGTTTTATGGGTTCAGACTGAATCTTTGAGACATTTTACATCACCAGTATTTCTATTTTTTTCAGCTGTTCTTTTGTGTATAGGCACAGGACCTTCATCTTCTAAGAGATGCGTCAACTGTTATACACAGCTATACTGTTGACTACCAGTGATTGAATTTGTGCAAATCTGTTTCTTTTCAGACCATTTTAGTATAGAAAATAGTGATTTAATTTAAAAAAGAGCAGGAAAAAGGTAAACAGAATCCAGTCTGAGTGCAAGAAGGCCAAGTTGCCCAGTAATTTTGTGGCTTTGAAAGCAAAACTAACAGTTGAAACTCTGCCCATACTATTAAAAAACAAGCAAACAAGCAAATTGTATGACACCCTTCTTGCTAAAAGGAATTGTTAGTTTTATAACTTATTTTTGTGAAATATATGAAGACTTTTAATTTTTTTTCCTCCTTTTTTTTAGTTGTCTGAAATGACTGGAATGAAGATCTTAACTCAAACTGTGATACCCAGTCAACCAAAACCGAATGAATTAGAAGAAAAAAAAGGTAAAATGTTGCACACCAATATAGATCAGAATTGTGTTCTCTGCTTGGATGACAGTTGACATGTGTACTAAGTATTATTTTTTTTCTAATTATCTATTGTTTTGAGAGATCGGCTTCCTTCTACACCATAGCTTGTGAGGTGAACAAAACCATTGTGTGTTGGTTCTTGCTTTTTGTTCATTTCTCCCCCTCTCCCGATGTGTTACTCCAGAATAAGTATAAAATCCGCCCTTAACTGAGGAAGGAAACTTCCCCTGGCAGCGTCTGCTTGTCTTGTACTGGTAGAGCTCAAGCACGAAAGCTCCGTGATATAACCCCAGCTTTGCCTACATCTGCATCTTGCTTCTATGTGTGGACCTGCTGACTTGAGTTGCATGTTCTGGTTCCTTCTAATCCAGTTCTTTACTACTGGAGTAGCCGTGACCTGGAGGACAGCAGTTCTTGTGCCAGCCTTGTCCATGAGGTTTGTTCCTCATGCTTTTCAGTGTGGATCACTTCATGGATTACTTCTCTAGTGCTCATTGCTCAGTGGTCATAAAGTTGCCATAACTTCTATCACTCTATGATAGGTTAAACATGCCAAATTTTACTCCACCTTTCCTTTAGTGTATGTTCTCATTTTCCAAAATTATTTTTAAATCATTTTGTGCATCACCTGCAGCTTGATTCCTCGTTCTTAACTGTGTCATGGGAACTGTGACAGTCCTCTGGAGTAGTTGATCTTTTCATTAGGAAAAACTTAACAGGAAAAATCTACTGTAATTAGGCATCTTGATTCTTTATCTGCAGTTKTAAAGTAATTCATGGAGATTTTGTTCTGGATTCTGGAGAGTTTGTTTTATTGCTTTCACCACCTCAGAATTAAAAGAATTCCGTTAAATTTCATTTGAGCTTTTAAGCTTTCCATATTTTTCCTCAGCCTGAGAGGTTACCAGGCCCAAGTTTTTGAGGACGCTGTCATTCTACGCTGTCGTTCGTTACTGATTTGGAAGGTGAGTGGGTGTTGGGGTTTGTTTTTAATGTTGTATCCCATTCTGTATCAGGCAGGGTCCCATCTCTTGCTCTTCATCCTGGCGAGCAGACCAGGATCCACAACCTTCTTTGGCTGCACTTTGCCTGGCTTGTTAATTTGTGTCTGGTTCATTGGTGATGATTTTCTGATCCTTTCTCACCCACTCTGCCTTTCCTATATAGAACCTCTCCTGTTTTACAAAATCTTGACTGGATTTTTCTCATCTGGTTCTGGTCTCTTGTATCAATTACCACTTTGGATCTTCTGTGGTATTAACTGCTCTATGACTCCTTCCTGAGTCTCCTCTCCATTTGTCCACAGGGTAAACTGGCTGCTAAGCTTGTTCTCAAAGTTGTTGTTGCTTGCTAATGATCACAGCTGTTAACTTYAGAGTAAAGCATCTTTAGAGGTCCTGTTATTCAGCTACTGTCTGTAAATCATAATCTATTCTTTTTCCCTTCTTTTGTCATAGTATTGATTTTCCTTTCAAACTACATTTTCTCTGCAGCTTTAAAGTATTGTTGAGGTTAACCATTTCCCTCACTTAGGTTCAACAATTATTATAATCATTTGTGGTCTAAGACAGGAAAAATCACCCTCGTGCTTGATTTCAAGGCCTTTCCCGTTAACACAGGCTAAGAAGGAAGCAAGTAGCTAAACTACAGTTCCTAAAGACAAGAACAGTTCCTTTGTCACCAAGGACAAAGAAATAAGGTTTGTCCCTTCTTGCCCCACACCATTCCTTTCTTTTTGAATCTCTGTTGTGGGCTTTCTTTTTTTGTGTGTGTTTTTGTGTGTGTAGGTGTTCTGGTTTTTGATGGTTTTTTTTGGTTTTTTTTTTTTTTTTTGTTTTTTTTTTTTTTTTTGCGTGTCTGACTACATAGTAAGACATGTTCTATCTGGCTATGGTAGAAATAGTGGAACAAACCAAATGTGGCATAGACCTCAACTTTTAAGTTCACATCCCTTCAACTAGTTAATTGGTATTAATATTTGCCCACTTATGTGCAGTATACTTGATTATTTTTAGTTGTTGAAAGACATCAATAGTGCTATGAAAAGGGACTAGATAGGTTCTCATGTTATATATCTCATAAATTTGTGCCACTTTGATGGCATGGGTTATTACTAATTCAGAAAAATTTCCTTTTAGGATTTAAAGACCARTTTGTGAAGTTTCTGTTAATTAGAACAAGGTACTGGGGATCAGTCTACATGGAGTGTTAGGTTGGATTCACCTTTGGTTTTGTTTCTTTTTACTAAAACATAAATAYTCCGTGAGATTAGAATAATCCTCCATATTTACTGAGTTCATTTGTTAAGAGTAGAATTGACAAGCTGTGCTATTTACTGCAAGTACCTCATTTCCAGCTGAGACTTGACTATCTGCTCTTTTCACATGCAATTCTATCCTTTTAATAAAAATCAGTCTCTTACACCTTTCCTAGCTTGAGGACCTTCAATATTGAAATTGAAATAACTGCATAATTTTGTGTATTTACAGAAAGAATCAAATACAGCAGAGACTTTCTTTTAAAGCTTTCCAATGTTTCACTCTCTCAAGAGAAGCCAAAGTTTCTTCCTGATCATCCAATTGTACTTGAAAAACCAGTAAGTGATTTTTTTTTTTTTGCATATTAAATGAAATTATAGAAATGGTCRTGGTGGTTTTGACTATTCGTTTTTATAAGAAAAATATTTCTTCAAGTCTGTAAAATTCACATGACCTTGAAAAGACCAACTGTGCGKTTAGAGCTCTAGTGCTGTTGTGCGGAGCAGCTTCCCCAAACAGTATGTGGCAGAGCAGCATTTGGCATTTTGCCAGGATGAGAATAGTAATAAAAAAAGAAAGGATATTTTAATTTTTAAGAAAAAAAAAATCAGATATCTGTTCCCAAATTTGGGAAATCATAGTATATTGTAACTTTGTTGTTGTGTGTTAACTGTTGCTGTTTTTTTAAAAAATAAAAATCTTGATAGAATTTTGGTCGGATGAAAGTTTAATCAAGCTTAATCCTGCAGCTCGTCCAGGAACGGGTGGTTGTTACCACCTCGCTGCAGAGGGGAGTATTAAAGAAGTTATTTTCCATCTTAATATTCCCTAGTACCAAAGACTTGAAATCAGAAATGAATATTTACGTCCATCCCTGGCTGAAAACTGTATTTTTAGATGGAGGAAGCTTCTGGGAGTGCTGGKGCCTCTAACAAGAGGGGTGGTGCTGCCGTTTGTGGCCGGGTGTTGGGGGCAACAGGACGATGTGGGCAGCAGCGGTGCCTGTGCTCAGCTCAGCACTTGAACTAAGTGCTGCTGTTAGGCTGGCCCAGCCTGCCAGAAAGTCTCCTTAACGAACATATAGTTCTTTGGATTATTATGAAAAACATTAAATCGTTAAATGTGCAGGGAGTGGAAAAGATTGATAGGGAGATATGTGGAGGCTTTGTTTGAATGATTTTTATAACTGAAGTGGGTTTGTTTAGTGGGTTTGTTTGTTTGCAGGAGAACAGCAACACTTTCATTGATTTACGCAAGAACTGATAGGTTGATGGGAAGATGAGATCCACTGCTGAAGCATATTTTTACAGAAGATTTTTAGAAGGAACTTGAGTGCCTACAGATGAAAACAAGACTTTATGAAACCTCCAAAAAGGCCTATTTCTATCAGTAATAACCTGAATGTTTTGCAACTCAAACATTTAATTTGTAATGTCTGAGATAGTAGTGGAAGTAAATAATTTTGTTTCTCTGTGACAGCCTTTTCCTTGAATCAGCTGTGCCTTCTAACCATATAGTTCATTAACCATCTAGTTCATTTGACCACCAACTTCAAACCAATACTTGAATTGACTTTTTGCTGTTCACTCTCTCTTCCTTGGCAGTAATAACGGACAATAGCTACCAGCGACATCAAATCTTCAAATGGCTTAGGAGTACATACTATTTTAGCCTAATTTTTGGAGGGTCAAAACTTCACTTTTTTTTTTTTTTCTCGTACCTGTCTCGACGCAAGAGATGCCTCAATCTTCTGTATACCTGCCTTCTTTCAAGCAATGAAGTATCTTGTTCTTGACAGTTTTTCTAAAACTAAAAATCCTTCACCATTGGTCAATACAAGAAAAATGTCTAAATATTTAAACATCAAGAACGAGGCAGCACTTAATCCCTTATGATACATACGGGGAAAGGTTTTAGCAATCTGTAGTGGATGGCGTCGTTATTTTTTTCTTAAATTCGAATAGTGTTTAAAAAAAGTGAAGAACAGGATTTTACTGTGTTTCTTGAAAATACTTTCGGTTGACAATCTTCAGTAATAGTTTTTTTTTTTTTTAATTGAAATTTTTGTCTTTAAAATTTTCTGCATTCACAGCTACCATAACATCCTTTTTTATGCCAGAGGCACCTTGTTTTAACCTTTCTAGCAAATGATGATTGAAGCTAAATTAGAGAATATTGGATGAGATTGTAATAGCACTACAAACTTGCAGATGACACTTGGTAGAATCAGGTATTTATTTCCCTCCCTAAAGCCGTTCTTATAAACTCATCCTACAGATTATTTTTCTTTTATATTTAGCAGCAATTTGACAAACACTTTAAATTATGTGAATGTGGATTAAAATTATCTTGCGAGTGTGTTTTATTTTTGTGGTGTTTAGGAGTAATGTTACCAAACTGAAATCTGCTCAGTTTTTTTCTCACTGGAAGCGTTTTAAAGTGAATAATACGGATTGTTTTCCCAGTATGTGTTGAAAGTTACCTCTGCATGTGGCTGTCTCAAAACTCTTAAGTGAAACCCTAATTTGTTCTTATCTATTATTCATTCAAAGGTTTGTTTACTAGCAAAAATATGAAGGAGAAAAATAGGTGGTGGGAGAGCTGTGACCTACTCGAACCTTTTTTTCCCCAGCGTGTTTTCATGAGATTCTTCTCCCAAGAAGACCTTCAAAGATGGCTTTGTTCAGGTCTAAGCATATGTTATAAAACAGCTTCTATTTCTGTCTTTTTCTTTCATTCTTAGCTAAGATTTCATTTTCTACCTTTTTTTTGCTTGGTCTTAGGCTTCCTGATGACTGATGTTTCTATTTATGTGCGTAAAGGTTGCAAAAGACTTTGGCTGTGCTGTTGGTTGTGTAACATACTGACCCTGAGAAGTAAAATGGTCTAGGAACCCAGGGAGGTTGTGGAGTCTCCTTCTCTGGAGGTCTCCAAACCCGCCTGGATGCCGCCCTGTGCCCCGTGCTCTGGGTGTCCCTGCTGGAGAAGGGGGGTTGGACTAGATGGTCTCTAGAGGTCCCTTCCAACCTCAACCATTCTGTGATTCTGTGATATATCCAGTGAATCCCTGCTTTTTTGACATCTAAATCCTAGCACCTAAAGCCCTATGTTTGAAGTCTTGCGTGGATCAGTCTGTGGGATGTGTGCAGGGCGGGCGTGAGGTATTTGGGGACAGTTTGTTCTGACACTGTTGCAGCACAACGCGTGCCCAGGGAAGGTTCCTCACGTGCCACAGCTCTGAACCTTGGGTTTATGCTCCGTGTAGAGGGCAGCACGCTGTGGATACTGTGCTGCTGCCTCCTGCAGTGTTTTCTGGAACAGGTTCCCTTGGCATTTTTACATAATGAGTGACTGCCACTGTAAGGTACCTCTCAGCACAATAGGAAACACCCTGAGTGTCATTTATCTCATGACCTGGCAGAGAGAACCTGCTTCTGTCTCCAGAAGAGAGKGGTTTTGTGGAGGTGTGGGGGCAGCCGGGTGATCTTCGCAGGTTGCAGGCAACTAACGGATGGACCAGACTTCTGCAGGGCACTGTCCTGGACTCTCCTGGGTTCAGAAGTTGCTAGAGGCATTAAACTTCTTAACATCTGGGGCTTCTTGCTGAAGGGGTTGCTCTCCCCAGCTCCATAACTAGATAGTTTGCTACGTGTCCTGTTCAGGTTTCTCAAGGGGGTGCTTATGTCATATTTATCTGCCATGCTAGATGAGTGGAGAGAGCAGTCATTTGGTACTTAGAACTTGTCAACCTGTCATGGGGCTATGAGGTTATAATAGTCTGTCTTGCCTATTTTATTTAYTAAATGAGCTACAAGCATAATTACAAGCACAGTTTCTGGGCAGAAGGCCTCGCTTGCTGCTTAGATGCTAATGAGACAGCAGAGCAACTTCTCCAGGAAGATGTTATTTCTGCTTCTAGCTTTATGGGTGCTTATGTTTTAAGAGTGGCTTCTTTTATGAGAACAGTTTYAGGATCCAATATAGTAAAAATTAATTCCTGGGTATTGAGGATGTGGAGCTTAGAGCTCCCTGGTTGTGAGGGCCCCAGGCACGTTTTGRGGAGGAGGTTGGGGAAGAAGAAGGCAGGTGCTGGGAGGAGAAGATGACTCTGCTCCCTCTTATCCTGGGCAGATTATCCTCTCTGCAGGTGAAGTTCTGTTTTAGCACAAAGACCTTTTCCCTGTTTATTCTCTTAAGTGATGACTTTCTTTAAGATAACACATTTATGTTAATACATGTGTTCATACCCATTTCCTTGGAAAAAGGAGGACACAGCAACAACTGTTTATTAATGGAAGCTCCAACTATGTGAAAATACTTGGTCACGTCCATCACAACGTGCTTCCCTGATCACTTGCCACAGGTTGAGGTTACACAGCAAACAGCTCRGCACAATTGTCTTGTGTTGCCTTTGGAATGCAGGGTTCCACTCAGCCRCTCTCAAGAAGAGAACATGTATTTTTTTATATTTAAAAGGGAAAGCTTGCACCTGTGATAAACTATAATGTCCTAATTTGTTACCCCGGGTACCTATATACGGCTATATAACGTTGCTGTAATGAAGAACATTCAGTGATGTTTTGCCATTAGTGATATTTGGAACCACAGCTTCTAGTTGCCCTTGAGGACCCACCACGATGCTGAAAGAGAAGAGAATTTATTTCTTATTTCTCCTTAAGCAGTATTTCTTTTTTTTTCCTGCCTCTTGTAAAATGCTAAATAAAACCTCTATAATAGAGGCATATGTCACCACGATATGAAGAGGGGAAAAAAAAMCACTTATATGTGCTGCTTATACTATAAAGCTGCATAGTTTCAAGGACAAAACCACTCCACACATAGGGAAAGCCCTTCAAATGGTAGGAGAGGTACCACGTGGCGGGGGAGGGCTTCAGGAAAAGGGGATTCATTCCTGTAGTGCTGCTTTGATCAGTCTCATAAGGCGCCTTAGAGGGGCTGTGTGGAATTCAGCAGGCGAGTCCCAGAGGGCAAACCGCAGAAAGCCTCTCGGAGGGAGGGGACACAGCCCCGCTGCACATGCCAGCGTTGCCGCAGAACAGCGCGTCCCCTGARCGACTGTGCTGCCTTTAGTGACTGTTCTTCCCGGTGACACCATCCAAACCTGCTGTTATCCTTTGTGCAGTTCTAGGAATTGAGTGGTTTGCCCTAAAAGCAGGAGATGTGATGGATTTATTGAAGGTCATTCGCAGAAAAGCAAAGCTGTAATCACCACATTATAAATGGGAGCGGAATAAAACACGTAGGTATATTGCAGTCCTTCCTCATTGGCCTTTCGGAATTGAACCTTTTTCGCAGGAGGRAACTGCAAGATTTGTGGAGAGAAGAGAAGCAAATAAATGAAATGTAGGTGATAAGTCCCTTTAGTGAAGAGGTGCTAGGAGCTCAGGGACTGGACATTTTGTTTTGAGGATTCGTTAATAGGATTTGGTTCCCTAAATCCTTCAGTTTGGGGCATTTTTTAAAAAAAAAAAATTATTCTTAAGAATCTAAAGATTCTTAAGGATCCTACCTACCTTTGGGCTAGAAAAGTGTTAAGTCTCTGAAACATCAGTGGGTTAGAAAGCTTTGGTGAAATGAATGTCAATTTAACAATTACTGTTATAGTGCTATAAATATTAAAACACTTTTCCTCTATCTTTTGTTTTCTTTGCCAAAAGCTTCATTAATATCCTCAAGGCTCAAGTCTTTCTATAAAGATGAGGCTTTCAATTACAGAGGGAACCAAATGATTCTGGCCAGTCTAGTTGCCTAACCTGAAGCCACTTTGGTCAGTTAAGAGGTGAGCAAGGGMCAGTGATAGATCCTGGTTCCCATTAAATGGTGGGAAATGAATATGCTATCTCCAGTAGTTACTGGATGAGGGTAATACTGGATCCAACAGTCCCAAAAACCCACGTGTTCCCGAATCATCCTGAGCCAGGTAAGTGCATTTTCCTTCATTTTAATGGCTTATCTGTATAAGGTCTCTAAGGTTGTAATCTCTTGTTGAGTCAGACTCAGAACGTGGCTTAAATTGTTTAATTTCTTAGTTACCTGGATGTGTCATAAGGAGTAGCTGCTTCTGAGCTGGGGTATGTGTATTTTTAAAGTACAGGCTGTATATTAGTTATAAGCAGGTTATGGTTCTTTTTTCCGAATTTTTACAGCACTATCTTTTTACACACCGCCTATAATTCTTTCACAAAATAGACTGGTAGCATCATAGACACCTTTTCGTTTTGTTCATTCTCCTGATGAGCGTGAACATTTTCTRTCTTTCAGACATGCATATAACATGTATAGTGTTGATTTATACATGTATGTATATGAAGGGCTCCCCATTAAAACAGTTGAGACGTCTGCGTGCCCCTTTCTAACACACAGTGATCTATAAAGGGGTGAAAACGCCTCCATCCTCCATGCGTCACTACTGCAGGGGCGGCCTAGTGGGAAGCGTTTCCATGGCAACTGTGGTGCCGGCGTGATGGCCGCCCTGAATCCAGCGGAGAATCCAGCGGCAGCCGCGTCCCAAGTTCACGCTTGGGCACTGGGGAATGACGCTCACGTTTTATTTTGCTGACTGTTTTTTCTCTTGCCGTGAGCAGAGCAGCAGTGGGACAATCCGGGCTCCTGCCTGTGCTGTTCCTTGGACACAAGGAAATCGGGCTGCGTTGCTTCTCACAGCCAACCTCATGTCTTGACCACTAGAATTTCCTTATGAGGAATCTGATTTAAAGGGATTCTGGCTTCATTCACTGTAATCCCCTGGTATTGCAGGAATCCTTGGCATATATTTTTATGTTCGTATCAGGCTCATCAAGTCTGAATTTTTTGACTGGTTTATTTTAAGGAGAGGGCTCAGGTCACTTAGAACTAGGTTATATATATATATATACA